TTTTTTTTTTTTTTTTTTTTTTTTTTTTTTTTTTTTTTTTAAAGGGATATGTTTACTTTTGCGTAGGTATTGCCAGAAGGAGAGAAGGTGCTTTAATAATGTGGGGTGTCAGCGATGATAGTATTGATCAATCCTGCCAATTATCAAAGCCACTTACATCTTCTATTTATCAGATCCCTTTCCACGTGATGAACATGGGGAATTGAATATTGTCATCTGTCCTCTACGTTCTGCTGTGGAGGTTCGAGTAAAACTCGTGTTAACGATGTGAACTTTTAATTATTGCAGCTTTTTATAAAATGTGGGCTTCTTGCTTACCTCCTGCTCTCACCGATACAGTTTTTATCAGATAAAAAGTAATTAAAAATAGTAGTTGGTTGCCTGTAATCAATGGCCAACTCAATATTAACACATAGGTCATAGGTCCAAGGAATGGCATTGGCAGCATGGATTGAATTATTCCTGAGTGACAGCATCGACTAATAGTGGAGAACAAAAATAAGGTATGAACTTAAAAACTTTCACGAATTCAGCGCCCCAAAGCAATTTTTACTTGGAATGGTTGACAGTATGAAGTTTAGACTAGCCAATGATGTTGGTCATTGATCAAAGGAAGTTGAATATATTTTTCATTTTCCCTCTTGATCAAGCTAGATCAAGCCACAGCAGACAATTTTATGTTAAATATAAATCTACTGTGCATATTCAAATTAAGTAAGAATAACTTCTTGAGGTTGGAATACGATGCAAGAAGATTTCAGCCCTGGACTAACTAGTGTTGAATTAAGTCAAGAGAAACTGCGTGTTGAAAAAAGTTTTATCTCTACACCTTAAGAAACAATCTCAACACGTTTCTGATCGGTTTTTGTGAAACTTGCTTAAAAAACATCACAGGGTATTTTTTATTTTTTCGAATTTACAATGCCTGGTATTGATCCTATTTTATTGGATCGAAGCAAAGCAAGTGGGAAGCAGATGGATTTTTACCATGTTAGGAGTGCAGCAAAATTAAAATAAGTGGGCCAATTTCTCTACATGGATCCAATTTGATGTTCACATCAAGAGTGAAACAGCAAAATCACATACCTAACTCATTCCAAATATTGAAAGTTTATTCAAATCAATTCATTTTACATTTTACAAAATACGTCAGTCGCATTTTGAGGTCTGAAAACTTGGGTTCTGGCATTAACGATTTATAAAATGTTTTCACTTACTGAGGAGTTCACTAAAATCACAGAGTCTCAGTTTGCCAAGTGCCAGATTCCTCTGACCTTGTTGATGCGCGTAGCCTCAGGAGATTTGCCCTGCCCCTCTGAAAATGTTCTTTCATGAAAATAATCTACCTAGGTTGAGCAGAAGTTGAGATACTGGGTGTGAAAAAAACACTCTCAGCTGCAGTGTTAGAGAATCTCCACTGATATTTCATTTATCATGAAGAGAGTGAATGCATGTACCTATTTCATTGAAATTTTAACTGAGTATTCTTCAGGATTCCGCAATATTCTACAGGAAAAATTCCGGAAAAACCACCCATTTGATTCTTCTTTAATACATATAGCAACGGAGACTCTGAGACACCGTAACTGAGCACCCAATACTCAATTTTGAAACAATATTACCTAAATAAGTGTACTAATGGTAAATTCACCTCTGGTGTATGACCTAACTGTGACATACATATTTACACTTGCAACAATCCATGAGAAATAAACTTTTTGCAAGGAACCATTGACAAAGACCTGGACTGCCAGCTTGAGAACAAGTTTTTTTGTACTAAAAAGTTCAAAAGTTGTGATGAAAATTAAACAACAAGGAGTTTCATTGGTATTGAACAGCGGTTTTTATTTAGGTACTTGAACAACTTTAAATAAGTAGAAAAAACTAAAAAATAAGGGATCTGCTGGGATATTGTAAAAAAATGAATGAACAGAAGAAATAGTAACTGAAAAAGTACATAAATGCAAATGTGAGATAATCTCTCACCAAAGTGTTACATAAGTCTGCTGGGGGAAAAAGTGACGAAAATATACTGAAAAAAATGTATCTAACAAGAAGTATATTATGTTAATTTCCAAAGCAGGGCTGATTAATACAAAAAAAAGTATTTGGCTGAATTTCAGTCAAGGAGTCAGGAGGATTCAGTTTGCCTAAAGGGGGACTTATGAATTAAAGCGCATGAGATTTTTTAAAAATTTGGATACAATGAGAGCCACTCAGGTATTTCTGCATCTTTTTCAGAAAATTTTAAAATTGGACTAAAAGTGAAGACAAAAGAAGTGTGAACACCAACAACAGCTCGAGCTACATTCGGCTGAAAATTAAAGGGATAGGGGCATTCTGAAATTCTGACCCTTATCAAAAGTTGAATATTTTTAGAGAATACAACTGGCTAATTTTTTTTGAAAACTAAAGACGGAAGTGGGTACATGAATAAAGACTGGAAACTGCAGCAAAGATGATGAAGAGAGAACATTCATTGATGATAGACATTAATTCATGCTTGTAGAAAAAAATTCCCAGCAAGACATGTTGTTCTAGGTAGACACGAAGCTAACAATGTTGGATATTTTAATTTCGTTCTCATTTTTCACACTGAGGCAGCAGAATATTGTTGTTTCCCTACAATATGAGAGCGCCTTTAAGTTTCTATTCTTGCAAACTGGGGATGCTTATTTGAGATGGTAATTTGACACTTTCTGATAACTACTAGATAAGCTGCAAAGGATATACATATTTATTTAACAATTAAAACAGGATGAAATTTCCCTGTTGAGTTACCTAAATTAACAAAAGTTCAAGTAAAAGATATGCCCTTAAAGAGCTGGGCTATGAACTGTTGCCGAAGAATAATTGGAAAACAACTGACTCTATTCAACTTTTAGTTATAACTTGTAACCATTGGATATTCTTCGATTCAAAGATTACTTGTTTTATTGTGCACAAATTTTCCAAAACTTCTGACACCATGTCTTAGCAAATTCAAACAAAGAAGACCAACAGTAGTTTACAGCATAACTGCAAAACCATATGATAATTTCTAACTTGCTCATTTAATTTTTTTTGAGACATCCTAATAAAACACGACTTTTTTTAAATTCACTGAAAGTATTATGTAGTCAACATGTCAGCAATTTTCAAGAAGAAAATAATTTGATTGTGAGATAATGGATGAACACACCATAAAATCCTGTTTTGATGGATGCAGTTTGTAAAGCAGTGAAAAATGATGAGATCAGCCCCAGCAGGCAGTTTCTATGTCTAATACTAACAGAGATAACTCCTGCTAAAAAACAAGGTGTTTATGTCCTCTACCCTCATTATGTATACCTTGGTTTCTTCTACCCCAGGTTTTTTTAATCAGTGCTGCATTTGCAGTAATGATTGAACAAAAAACGACTTTCTGAACACCAAGTGTTAGTAACCACGATAGACACTACCTTGGTAGATTTTGTCAATCACTGTGTTCTTGGAATGGGAATTCTTCTGTCAATGTTGGACATAGGTACTTTAAGTTCGATGAGATATTATTTTTAATTGCTTCAAAATTTACCACCATCAAGACATGATTCAATGGGAAGCATAACTGAACCAATAAGAGGTTTTTTTAGCAATACTAATGCTGTGCAAAGTTGTATGTATTCTATTGGAGGCCAATAATCAAATCAGACACTCAGGTAAACATTTGAATTTTCTCTTTTAGAAAGAAAACTCCCATTTTTGGTAAATTTTGAAAATAATATGCTGTGAACACATATGTTGGAATTTTCTGTCAAATTTGTGCCCTTCATAGGTTTTTTTTAGAGATTTCTGGAGCTCAAATGAACTATCACCTTGGGCTGTTGCAGTATTTGATTAAATACATTGTGTTTCTCTAAAGTTGACTTTTACAAATGGTGAAGATCATTGAACACTCACGCTTCAGAGAAATGCATAGTTCAATCAAGGTTTACCTTCGAAATATTGGACAACTGACAGCTCTCTGTTAGGAGCATGAGCAATATTGAAAACCTTTGACATTCGGATCTAGTGCAACAATTGAGAACCAAGTACACAGACACATTTACCTATAGATACATTTACATGGGGAAATCAATGGCAGATATGTAGCTCCTGAATAAACTAAGAAAGTTGGTTCTCCTCTGCTGAACTTAATCCATTTGACAAACAAGAAGAGCATGTAACAAAATGCAAGATGTTACTCTCTGTCTCCCACACAGACATTTTGCAGAAAATCAAATATGCAAACAGTCACACTATTTTATTCAGAGAGCGACAAGTAATTTGAATCGAAAATGATCCTGGTACATACATTCAGCAATAGACCGTATTCGATACAGGTTCGATGTATCGTTTGGTTCAAAACAATAGAACATAACCTCAAACCAAACTGTAAGGATTTAAGTTGAAAAAGCTGAAAATGAGAAATTTCCTGACAATTTCACTTTGCATTGGCATTTGGTACTCAAAAGAATAAAAAATCTGTTACAAAAGACCCGTTCTTTCAGATTTCTGAATTTACTTTTGAGGCTATGTTTATGTTTTGAACCAATCGATATTGATACAATCTCACCCGTTTGATGTGGCGAATACGATCTATTGGCAAAATCGATACATACTTACTGATAGTAGAATTGCATGACAGAGAGGCTTTAGTGACAGTAACATCAAATCATTTGAATCTACCTGCTCACATTTTGCATTTAAAAGTATTTACATCATGTTTCATTTAGAGTAATACAAACAACAAGGATTGATGTAGTATCCACCATGGGCAGTGCACCAAAGAGGGCATCCTGGAACCTAATTCTGTTAGCAGCAAACCTAAATTGATCATAAAATACTCAACTCTGAAAATCAACAAGTGACCCACTTGTCAGACAGGTCTACACCCCGTAAAAAATTACGTAGTGTTTTGTTAGCCCCCCTCCCCTCCCCCTCAATTTAGCATTTCAAGATGAATTTTAGATGAAAAATTACCAACTTGCGTCTGTTTTCCATTTTCGATTTTCGAGAAATCAAAGCTATGCTTCCATTCAAGTGTAACTTGACAGTCCTAAAAAGCCCCTTCTCTGTGTTACAGGTGTTTTATTAAAACACCTGTAATGCGATCTGAGACTCCTCTCCACTCTAGAGCGTTGTTGTGCATTTTATAAGTGGCCCCAATTCTGGACGGCTTTTTTGATCTATCATCGAATCATGAATCAATAGTCTGCACTGTTGGGGATTTTCAGACGGAGTTCTCATAAAAAACTCAATTGATAATAGATTGAGTTTTATTTGTTTTCAAATTATATATACAAGATGGGTCATTTGATTTGGAAGATAGTGACTTAATTTGCTGCCAACAAGATTCCAGCCCTGAATAATGTTTACCTAACAACAAATCAAACCATCTAAAATATGCTACAACAGCTGTGAAGTGTTAAATGCATCCATTACAGAGGAGTTGGGATTACAGATAGATGGATGACTATATAGCTACCAATATATTAGAAGACTATGAAAATTATGATTTTGCAGCACTAAAATTTCCAAAGTCGAAAATATTGAAAAATTGTTTCTAACAATGGGACATTGTCTAAGGGAAGTTTAGGGGCACGTACATTTCACCTTCTTCAGACTTTCCAGGATCAAATTCTGAAAGACCAAAATCTGGAGGGTTAGGAACAAACTGATCAAAGCCCAAGTCCAATGGAGGCAATACTTGGCCAAAAAAGTTAGTGCAAAAAAAAGCCAAGCTTTTAGTACGAAAAGCAGTCCACTGAAGGACAGGAAAACAGTGTTTTTCTGTGAGTGTATTTCATTCACTCACTTATTCATTTATTTATTTATCTAGAATCAAAGGAGAAATTTTTCACTTATTTGTAATTTTACTGATAATTAGAAGACAATTTGAGATATTGCGAATAATGAACTACGTAGCCAAGATAACAATATCTTGAATCATATATTTTAGTTTATTATACATATTTTTTCTCAAAAGAAAAATACGATTCACTACTTAACATAATCATCAACTGTACAATTATTTTGCAGTTGTAATGATGAGAGAGACATCTAGCAGATGAACATCAAATTTCAAAATCTTAATGATTTTTGGAAGGTACATCAAAAATAAAGAGAGAGGATTTTCGATTTGGAATATGTATGACATTTAAACATACCAATTTCAAGACATGCATGTCTTAGTTTTTAATCGGATGGAGACAAATTATTTTTTGTAGACCTGAGTAATCATTCTCATCTATTGCTAACTTTCTATCCTGCATGAAGTGGAGAGAAATGGGGAAGAAAAGGTGGATTATAAATGCAGCAAACTTCTGCCTTTCTAAAATCCCTTCTTAGAAGGACATTTTTTAACTTTAGATTACTTTCACTGTAAAACTATGCCAGAACACCAAGCCTAGGCAAAACTTTATAATAATAGTGAGCTTAACTTCGATTGAAAATGGTCCCTCCATTCTCATTGTGAAACAAGCAAATATTTTTTTGACCAGAGGCTGATTCAGCATCAGTATTTTGCAGAGCTAGAAAAATCAAAACAAAAATGGATATTTTGTAGGAATAAAAGTTTTGAAGAAATTTTGGCCTGGGTAGGGATTTTAGCAAAGCAGGATTTCACTGTGCTTAGAAAACTAAAGAAACAGCTTTCAATACAAATAATACTTTTATAAACATTTATCTATTAAAACTAGCTTAGTTACAGTAATAAATTATTTCTTTCTGTTAAAAATATAAAAAATAAAAATCAAATGATAAAACAATACAGACTACCCAAAAAGCGATAAAAATTTGAAAACCTAACTAATTCATGATCTTACATCAAAATGTACACAAAGCATAAAAAAGAGGACAGATAAAAAAGGAATTTGGTTGTTAATTGAACGGACATAAGAGTTTTGGTGTTAATGACGACAGAGAATAAAAATAAAAAAGGAAATATTCAACAGACAAAATATAGAGACTGACATTTTTCGTCCGGCCAAACTATAAGATTGCAACAACTAACTGATTCAAAGAACTGATATCACCTGACCTTCATATTCATTAAAACATAAAATTAGCGAGTTTAGCAAGAAATTTACAGCCACAATTTCGATAGTGAACATGATTTTAGAATGGCTTACTGATACACTTTATTTTTGGTACACTTTTCTGAGATCTCGCAGCGTGTACTCAGATGATGGCATTTTTGTCCGCGCATCTTGTTTCAGAAAATTACACCTTGCTAATCTCATTACAAGGGAAGAAATAATGTTGTTGATTTCAGAGAGACAAGATATTTGAAAATGTGGTCAATAATCTGAAATTCATTACTACTTGACTAAAGTGATGAGAGAGTATTTGTGTTAGTGATCTTTATCTTGCAATGATACTGATTACAGTTATCAGTGCTCTCAGTAACACTCGTCCAGATTTGGAAAAATTATTAGGATATTCTTTGCATTTTTTACCATTATTGGTTACCGGCCAATGGCGAACATCCGTGCAAAAATTAAGAAAAATACATTGAACAGCCAATGTATGTCTAAAGGCTGATTTTGTTAACTTAATCCTTCATCCAACAAAAAGATTAGTGTTGGTATGTGTTTGGTTTTATCTTAAACCAAAAAAAAAATGTTGGAATGAAAACGACACTGAAAGATCAGGTGAATCAGTTTTCTAAAGAAACTACACTAAAGTGAAAAAAAATAGGTAGAAAGATTTGAGACAAAACAACCTCATTTTTGCGCCCCCCCCCCCAAAAAAAAAAAAAAAATAATACATTGTCTAGCACGGGTACATACAGGGCTGGACACACCTTCAAAGTGAAGCTTCAAAGTGGTGGCTGTTTGGTCAAGTGTTGCGCATTGATGCGGTAATTGATGGCAAAAGCTTGGCTAAACAGCCACCACTTTGAGGCTGCACTTTGAACATGTGTCCAGCCCTTACCTGATGAAAGTGTCTAAAATGAGCTAATGACAAAGATTAAAAAATTCTATTAATGCATCACTTTTCAAGGTTTTTGAGGTGACTGAGAACACTTTAGCTTGGTCATTGTAACAAAATGACCAAGCCTTGGCTCCTACTTAAAAAAAATAGTTTGATAACAATGCCTTAGCAAAAGATAAGGTGACAAAACTAAAAAAGCTCCTTTAGAGTGTTGCTTGCAAATACATACTTAGACTTGACTTAGTTGCCAGGCTGCAAGGGATTTCCTGCTTTCTTTACACGACTTAAAGTAACAATCGTGAATTATACACAAAAAATTTTACAACCCTGCGAGAAGAAGGGACAATCTGTACAATGTGACAATGAGAACAGTAATTAGGATTTTAACAAGGACTGTACAATTGAAAACCATCTTGCAAAGTGAGCCCTTCATTTTGCTTGCAAAATTTTAGGACCGAACAAAAGAGGAAAGTAAAGGGTCAATAATAATCTTTGAATCACAGAATTCCTATCACGATACTTAAAATGAATTGAAAAACACCCTCGGATAAACACAAATTTTGAACATAGGTACTTGAAGTTTCAGAAGTTCATGTGTCTTTCACTTTTCCACAACTCAAAAAATTCTCCAGTTCCGACTCCAAGAATTGAATTTCTTACTAGGTTAGTGGGATTGAGGAGGCTGATTTTTTATCGGTGCGGAACTGCAATTTGGAATTCCATGATTCCAAAATCAACATTAATAAATTAAGGGGCTCTTTTTGAATTTCCTGTTTTTTAAACCTTTGTTTCTTAACTTGAACAAGTGTACCTGGAGACGTTCCTCCAGAAAATAAACTTCTAAATTGATCAGTTGGGCTAAAATGTCAACTGTTTCAACTTATTTCAAATACTTTTCATAATATTTTGGATTTTTTTTTCCTACTTTTTTTCAACTTAGAAAATTTTTCTTTACTAACTAAAATAATCAACAACAAGACAATAAATAAAAATGAAGACAATAACCATTGATCAGGTGATTATTACTTACCTTAGCTTAGAATACTTTTTTACAAAAAATATGAACATGTTTTGCCAGACGAAAATTTTGAACCATGATTGACTGCCTTCCCTAGCAATATCACATTAGTTCCTGGAAAAAAAAGGATACTTCAGGTCAGGTGATAATTTGAAATCTGTGTCATTGCTACCAGAGAAAATATATTATTGAGATAACAACAATCTTAGCAATAAGATTGGTAAAGGCAAAAGTTGAGTTCGGAGTTCAATGCTACTTTTCGCATTATGATAACTGATGAATGTCAAAGTGAGCACTTTGCTAGGCAAATTTTTCAAGGAGAAAATAAGAGCCCACATTGGATAGAATAGACCACCTGATCCTCCTATACTTTTTTTCCAACCAATAGAACACCCGATGACCACTTACATTTATGGGAAATCAGAACTATGTATTTTTCTCAAATTCAGAAAATTTTTGGATAAACTACACTTACGCCACTACATGAGTACCCGTTTACTTTACAGGATGAATACACTGTTTTGAATTGCGAATACTTAGTACTGTTTTTAGTAACAATCGAAAAACACAGCAATATCCAATGCATGCAATTTGATTTTTTCAGCATATACTTGCTGGCAAAAATGGTACAGCACCAGTTGAGCATAAATAATAGTACCTTTAAATAGGAGGAGAACATTGACTATTGTTACTATCAGTACTGCTGAGAGAGGAGCGGCTATTGCTTCGTTCCATTGGGTTAGAATAGACCTCAGCTCCCGGGAAAATGTATCGGCCTTGTTTCAACATGAAATATGTGTTCTCTGAAAAAGGTTATACCAAACACATTAATTGATTGACCATTGTGGATTTTAAATATAAATACCATACAATAAAAAAAGAGGAAAGTGTATGTGTACTTGTTTTAGGCTTGAGTAAAATATCGCAGTTTACTGTTCTTATTTTTTTTCCAAATTACAGAAGAAATTAGGAAAAATGACCGTAATTGTTTGATTTGTAAACAATCTTGATCTAAGAAGATCCTCAAATTTTCTGTAAAAATTTTAGGGAAACTTTTCTTATCCTGAATCTTGAAACTTTCCATCAATATTTGTTAGATGTTTCTTCGTTACACTTGGTGCTCATCAATGAGTCACACAGATAGAAGAAATTGCAGAAAGTAAGAATGTAGTCAAATAATCAAGTTGAGATTAACGTAGTCACGTCAAGTTTGCAAATCGTACAGTTTGCACCAGAACAGAGTTCTGCGGGTGTTCAATTAACAACCACTGTGATGTTTAGAAGTATGCCTAGCTGCTGCCACCTGGTCCATTGCGCAGCCATAGCCCCGAAGTGTCAGGCTATACCCCTTGGAAACTTTCTGCAAATAAAGCATGTTTGTTGCTGGCAAGAGAATAATGTCAACTTGGAAGATAGGAAAAAAGAATATGCAGCGAAACCAGCTGAACTGATAGTGGCAAAGATGAAGTGCCTGTCACTTTTGCAATTTAGAATGAACTGAGTTTGGAATTGACCCCTGCATGATTCTCATGGTGATATTTTTGAGGAATTTTTGTTTTACAAACATGCTTAAATCTAGACAATTCGAATGTATTCAAATCCAATTTCCCGGATAAAACCTTATTTTAGGATCTGACTGGAGTAGTTCTGATCAAATTTAGAAAAAAGATGCAGGAGAGAGTCATAATTTCAGTTAAAATTTAGTCACACAAGAAACAAAAATCCTAAATATCAGGGTTCTGCATCAATTTTAACAGTGTATCCAAACCTACTTTAATTCACTGGAGACTTAGTGTACTAATCTTTTTGGTAATCGAACTTAAAATTGGTCATAAACAAAATTCCCCAGTTTCCAGGCAGTAGTTTAATATTCTGATAAAGCATTTGATGCACTAATTGCATGTTGACCTGAATTCTGACCTGCTCTCGGTATATTAATATCTAATTGTCATTGGGAAAATCAGTCTAAATCATGAATGATTATATTTTGATAAAGCATTTAAAACACCTATTACATGTTGACCTGAATTCTGACACGTTCTAGATATATTAATATTCAATAATCATTGGGCAAATCAGTCTACATCATGGATGATTACCTGGTAGACGAGCAGCCACGCTAATCTTCTCCCTTTCCCAGCTGCTCTCGTTGCTAATGGGTTCAGTGTCTGGCGAGTGAGAATCTACCGACATGTGGCGATCTGTCGTTGCACTGTGGGAGGAGTTGCTTCCATCTCCGATTCCGCTGTCTCGTGTCGAGTCCAGCGACATGTGCCGCTGCACAACTAATGAGCTAGGAACTTGATTACTGCTACAACTACTGCTTGGCTCATCCACGAGCATGCCTCTTTGTTTATTCTTGCTGTCGCTTTCTGCGCAGCTGATCAGAGTCTCTTGAACATTATCATCAAACAAGATGTGCTTGGTCCCGGCTTCACGACTCGTTGTGCTTTTCCTTCGGGCTGTGTGGTGGAGTCGATTGATATATTCACAACACTTAAGATCTTCGTCGATGGGAGGGCAATCTGCACAAGGGGCTGATTCAGATTGGTTTGTAGAGCTGCACGGTTCTAATGGTTCGAACTGTTTGCCATCCATAGAATCTTCTTCCATGCAGCTATCAATGGAAGTCTGTCGCTCACCTCTACTGGAGCCACCAAGACCACTGTCTCGCGTCGAGTCAATGGACATTTCACCTTCACTGCAGTCAGCTCCATTTTCGCTTCTGTAAAAGAGTGATTTAACATCACAATTCTTTCAGCACAAGAGAAATATATAATGCAAAAACGTTACTAGCATTCATAGTAAAAAAAAAAAGTATCAGCTTAACGATAGTACACTATACGAATGGATGAATATTTAATGTGTCGTTTTTTTCGGTGATTGGCTCTATTCATGAGAAAATTTGTACATGTAATAATTAAAACTGTCTCAATAATATTTATATGTTAATTACAGTGTTGTTTTGACGATTTTTGATAAATCAGGTTAAAATAAGAGAAAATTACTGGTTCTGTGACAATTGCTTTCTTAGTGGTTAAGTATTACTGTTAATGTACCCCTAAAAAGAAAATAAACAGTTGTTGAAATAATAGTGGTATGTGTTGATAGCCATGAGTGGTCATCTTCGTAACAAGAGCTAAAGTAAGAACCAGAACAACTTGCGCCTTTCAAACGAGGTGTTTCACTTGCTCTATGGAACTGAACTTACCGGAACGGAAGAGAAAGGATCGGTGAGTTCAAACGTTCTGCTGCTGTGCAAGGTGTTTCCCTCCAACAGATTTCTGAAAAATCTTCTCCAAGCATTCTACAAATTGTATCTACAACAACATCTCCATCGCCCAAAAGCTCTACATCAAATGTAAGATGAGGTAATCTTTCTCTGTTGATCAAGATTTGCGGCACTCCACTTGGCAGGGAATCTGAAAGCGATGAAAACAGTTTGGGTTATTTTTCTTCTACATAAAGCTGGAGCAAGGTCCGTAAAGGAGTTTTGAGTTTTCTAAATGATCACAAAGATATTTGCGTCACTTTGCGATATGATGCGGATTTAAACAAAATGACAGGTTATGCTAAGTAACAACAAGGCTCGCTTCCGGGAAGGGGGACTACAGTGTACACCCGCAGATAACCCACACCTCTTCTCCTGATTTCAACGATCGAAAATCAGGGTCTCAGTTATCTGTGAAACTCGTGGAAATTGCATACCCATCAGGCGCTACTTGACGATGTGAGTGAAACAGACCACTATGGGCACGTGTGGGTTACGCCGGAATTTATTTACTTTTTTTTTGACCCTCTTAAAATTTGGGGTACAAGTTATCTGCAGGCATATATGGTACTTAATTCTCCAGAGAGGACACCAATTTGCTGAGCTCATCAGAGCTCTTTCTTCAGTTTCCATAATATCCTGATTTTTCAATTTTTAGACTCAAAAATTTTCTATCTTCCCGGTTTTATCCTGCTTTTGATTAAAGCCTCCACTTGGATTTTTACGTACTTGTTTTCTTTTAATTGCGCTGACTTTCGCTCAACAATGGATGGAATTTCCCTGACAACAGATTCAAATTAAGGAAAAAGGCTTTCGGATTATAGCTTGGGCTTCCGTGAATAGCACCAGCTGAACAATGCTACTAACAAAATTCTCTAAATTCCCCAAGGTGTAGAAAATTCTCTGACTTTCCAGGTTTTCTAGACTGCCGGAAACCTGGCTCCCTGATGAAAATTATTTGGTCAAATTTTGAGGCACTCCTTGAAACCTCTTAGACTTAATATCTCCTTTAAAGCACCTTACCTTAGATATAGGAGTTATTAAAAAAGAAACACTAAAGGAACTTTAATTGAAGTAAGTTTCAAGGAGCATAATAAAATTTTGCCCTAACATGTTAATCCTGAAATGAATAACTGTTTTGACAACTCTTCAAAAGTTTAAATTTTTGTACCTTTGATTTTCTTTTAGAACTGGGAGGATATCCTGCAATAATAGAAAATGCTATCAGTCCTATTCTTTCTGAAATTCAATGCTGCTAACTAATAATAATAAAAGGAAGTACAGTAAGACCTTGATTTATCGGATTTCACGGGACCGGAGGCCGAATCCGTTCAAACGCGCTAGTGGGTCCTGCTGAAGAGACCGGAGGATCGATCCGTTAAATCGCGATTCAAAAATTCGAGGTCTTACTGTATGATGTTGCAAACTAAATGGATTAGAAAACTTGTGAGACAAAATATTTAAAAAAAACCAATTGACGCTAATTTCGCAGACATATAACCTAAGGGAAATGACACAATGAGGATGAGATACTGAATTTAGCTCATTATACTTACTGGGTATTAATGCAACAGGTCGAACTTTCAACGAGGAACCAATTACAATTAAAAGATCACAAACATTCTTATCTTCGGCCATTGCACTGTGAAAACTTTCTGGTAAGCCTTCTCCAAAGAAAACAATATCTGGTTTTATAACACCTGTAATAGAATAATATGAATAAAGTTTAAAATGATTTTTAAGAAAAATCACGAGTTGAATTCAACATGTTTGCAGCAGGAGAATTACTTTGTGAAATAATACAGGAATGGAATTCTTTAGGTGCTCACAATTCCTTCATCATAGTATCTCATTTTAAACTTGCAAGGTGGTTTGACAGGCTCCTTTTCAGATGAGTCCGGAAAACATATTTCGCGTTGTTTGGGAAGCTGTTACAGGCAAGTTGAAAATAAAATAGTAAGAGTTCTCTGGGAAAATATCAGATCATAGAGGAGTAGAGTCAAGATACATTTGACCCTTTTTTGCCTATACTTTTAGTTTTCTATACTTCTCTGGTTAAAGATACACTGATCTGCTATAAAGTAAGATAAGCAGGGAGTCTATGGGTACCTCATTAATTGAACTCATTGATTTTTCATTACCCTTTCCTAACTTCCCAAAAAATTCTTCTTTCAAAAGGTTTCCTTACACCCCTGCTTTTTAATGACCTTTTCTCCTATTGTTTCTAACCTACAGTGCATAAACATATTTTCAGCTTGAAATAAAACACATTTTCACAAAGAGAAGGGTAGGTATTCAGTATTAGAGAGTAGAGTTTAGAAATTCTACAAGAATAAAATGAAACCTGCAAACTCTGAAATTTTGCGAGAAGGTCATTTATTTGCACTAAAATTGCACATGACAATGATTACTTTAATTAAGTTCATCACAAAAATTACAGTAAAACTTTGATATAACGAACGTCTATATAACGAATTCTTCGAATTAACGAATTTTTTTTGCGGTCCCGAGAAAATCCCTATCTTTTCAATGTAAAATAAATTCTATATAACGAATATTCGCTTTTACGAAGGAAATCTTCCGTCCAAGTACGAACTGTACCATGTGAATCGAACTCGATTTAACGAATGCACAGGAATTTCCGCGCGCCCAGCAACACCGCAGGGGAGAAAGCAGGCTTGTCTTCACCCGCGTATTGTACATCGGTGTCAGTGCAAAGGTCATTTTCCGATTGGGCGGGATTGGGACTTTCCGAGGCACACATGTTTCCTCGAATAAACGGGGTGATTAAGGAGCTACCAGAACAGTGTCATCAGTACGATTTCAACCCCTGCTGTGGGCTCCTCACTATTGCTGGGCAGTTATACTGATCAAGTGCTAACTGGGTGTTCCCCGCCGATTTTCCGTAACATATCGTCATAGTTTAAGAGGGGGGGGGGGGGTACACGAAACTGGAAAAAACCGAACACTTCAAAAAAATTTGTGGCCTAAAATCGGGTTTTCGGCGGTTTTCGATGGAACGAATTTTCGATTTAACGAATTTTTTTGCCGGTTCCCAGAAATTCGTTATATCAAAGTTTTACTGTACATTGTTCTGTACCTTTCTGTGAAAAATCTGTTCATACTCTGTAATTCTGTAACATCTTTAACACGACATGCTTTTTCAGCACATCTATGCTTTTCCCAAGTGGCGTATACTCTAGGCGAGGGACAAAATTTTCCGAAACACCTGCAAATTTCAGGCAAGTCACTTCTGTTTAAACCAGGGATAAAGGAAAGTTATTCTTCTGGACAACTTTAATATGACATAATATCAATGAATAACACAAACATATACCTGATGGGTCTTTGCAAACTTGACACATTGGAATATTCTGCGCAAAGACATCTTCTCGTATATCCTCAGATGTTACTTTATTACTGCAGTTTGGATTCATACAAGATGCTGTTGAAAACGATCCTGAAAGAGAGAAAATGATTGTAATTAAGATGAAATGACCAATAGACCCGGATCAAGTATTGGTAAACTCTTCAATTGCCTAAACATTGACAAAAAATTAAATTAAATATTTATTTAGTAATTCAAAAAGTAAGAAAATGACCTTTTCAAGTCAAGGACTAGGAAAATATGACTTTCATAGTCTTGCAAGTAATCATCAATATTGAGCGATGATAGTGAAGATAAGTCGAATGGTCTAAAAAAAAAAACTGATGACTTGATGAGTCAACATCACAAAAACTTGATAAGCATTGAAGAAATGTTTGATGTAAATTCTGGATACAATTAAAGAAAAATTAACTCAATAAAGTTTTATTCTTCATTTGGGATTTGTGTTTCTTTTATTTGTAATTATGAAAATTTGATTGAAACTAGGTGAAAAAGTATCCTCTTTATGACACCTAACTGGAATATGGTGAAGGAGACCAATTTATTAGTTGAAGTGAATAATACTTACCATGACATTCGATAATATTGTTGATGCCTGCCACTTTTTCAAGGGTGTCAATGTTCTGGGTGTAGTTCCGTAGTAGTTTTCCTCGATTTTCTAACATTTTGATAAATCTACAGGCATCAAAAAACATACATATTAAAATAGAGAAATTCAATAATTAATTTTGAATTGGGTTATATTTGACCGTCATAATGAGAGAAAATAGGAATAATTTGAAACAAATCTTCACTGTATAGAAGTACATTCAAGAGAGGATTTCGAGGGGCAAAGCATAGACTGAACCACATAGGTGCTGGACACGCGATGACAGCAGCACAGGGCTGGACATTTGGGGGTCAAAGGGGCAATTAAATACATTTATATTATTTTGTTTATAAGATATTCATTAAAACTACATACATTAAAAATTGAGTTGAATAATAAAGAGGAAGTTTTGATCAAAAATGGGTATAAATATATCATTCAATTTGATTCAGCAGTCAAATTTGTTTTTTTTTTCTATTAGATTCTGAATCAAAAAACCATATTTACCTAACCCTTGAGCAATTGTTTCACCTCCATTACACTACCTCACAACTTAGTTTTCCGCAAAAGAAAAAAAATTCTCCGTAGCATCAGAGATGTTGCCTTTCGTTTAATTCACTGTCACTCATTAAAGTTAACTTACAACATTAGACTAATGCTCCAAATTGAAATTGCTAGATACTACTAGGTATGTACTTTTGAAACTTTAAATGCGATTTTTCAAAACTTAAAAACTTGACAGTCGCTATTGTTACTGACATGGCATCATTTAGAGAAAATGTTTAAATAAATCAAAATGACACAAATTATTGTGCTTGAGTACAATACAGTAAATGGAATACCTAACATTTTTTGTGCTTGGTTTGGTAGAAACTGAAAATTCACCATCAGGACCAAAAAATAGGAAAAAAACAAGAGCCCGGAGTAACAGCCCATTAATGCTTGAACCGACCTATTTTGCTTCTTTTCTTGCAGTATGAAAGAGTCAACCAGTCTGAATTCACCTTAGGTATCACCCATTCCATTGGAGTTTTGCCTGATGTTCCTGCTTGCCTATCTATCCATGTTTACGATACATTTAGGGGCCAAAACTACAAAAGGAACTTTTATACCCTAATGATGAATTGCAGCCCCAGACAGAAAGGAAAAAATATATGAGTGTAATATCAAATGGGGCTCTCTCTTGCCCTCTCTACAGGAAAAAGACATCAGTGAATGACTTCCACCACTTAAAAACCACAAGAAAAAATGGAAACATTGATATGGTTACCTGTGGCAAGGAGATGGCTTGAACTGTCCAGGATAAATTTCTCTAGCAAATTTAAAGAATGGGCGAGGATCTTTGCGAAAATAATTTATATCAAACATGGCCTGAGGGTCCGGCAGGTTCGGGAAGTCAATAGCTAGTCGAGAATAGATTCCGTTGTGGCTTCTAAAATCTGGGATTCCACAAGATACTGACACCTAGAAGAAAATCCAAAGAAACAATCATAAAGTAACCAATGTTCACTTAATTTTTTTCATTTTCAAATTACCTAACTATCCCCGATCTTCGCACAAATATTTCACTTTGTCTTTTTCCCCCAAGCACACAGATAATTGCTAGACTTAGGAAAAAAATTTCACTTTGGGAGATTCAAGTTATGGGAGGAGGCACTATGTCGGTGCTCTCTAGAAAGGAACTAGCTGAAGTTTCCAAGCTGATTTGCTACTTGCAAAATTTCATGATTTACCCGATTTTTCAGATCGTCACAGACCTTCATATCATCATGGAAATTTATTAGGTGATTGACAGGTGCAAAGTGCCCAAAAGTACAGCAAGGGTTAAGAACTTACCAAGCCTTCCTTTAAAATTCAATCAACCTCCTTCATTTTTAACCAAAATTCATTATCGCTTCCCCTTAAAGTCTGAGGAAAAAAACCTTTCACAAAAAAAATCTAACTATGTATTTCACAGCTACAATGATATATACCGTACTGGGTTCCCCATTTTGTCCTATTTCAAAGCTAAAACACTGTGTTTTGAACAGGGTCCTCCCATTTAATCTGATTTCATGAGGATTCCTCTGCTTTTTACCCTCCTTCCGCTAGAACCCGTGTTGTTCTCGTTTTTGCAGGGTTTCCCCGTGTCACTTCATCAGCTCACGACCAGGACAAACTTGTGATCAGAGAGTTTCTGTACCCCCAAAGTAAAGGGAAAACTCATATAGCATGTAGTGCAATATTTGCAGGCTGTCACCTTGAACAGCTGTGATGGGTGCCGCGGAATAAAATCTAATCTTCAATTTCTTGCCTATACCGAACGATGAAAAATAACAATGAGTCACCTCGATTTGTCAGTCTTAGAGCTCACTGAAACAAAGGTTTTAGCTGATTCTATTCTTTAGGCTGTCAACAGGGGCATGATCTACGAATTGAAGTATTAAGCTTGTACATACCCCAGCACCAGTGAGCACCATGATTCGTGAGCAGGTTTTGATAAGATTAACTACGTCGTCAAGGGTGTTGATATGCTCTAATTTTTTCCGTCTGGGTGGACAGCACATCATATTGGCCAAGAGCTGAAACAGAGAAACAGGAAACAAATGTATTAAATAATAAAAACGTTGGTTGGTATGATTGCCAGGTTTAATTTAATGTTCAAGAGAAAAGAATAGCCGCTCACACTTGGGCTCGCTTAGAATATTTTTGCTGATAAATTTAATGGATAATGTCTAGATTGATCTTAGCCTAGAAAGGTGACCGTGAATTCACCCATGAATAAGGCCTGCGCTATGAAGGTCTCTGGAAGATGGCATCCTCTTCAATTTTTTTTTCTTTCTTAAAAGACCAGTAATATAATTTGTTTGATATTTTTTATTTGGAAGTTATCTAATATTTATTTTTTTCGAAAATCATCAAAAAACTCAATAGGAATCATCATTTGACTGATATCAGTCGCTCTATCTCTCTTACATTGGCTAAGTAGCTCATTGTGTGCCTAAAAAAGTTTTCTGCGAAAACAGCGGATGTGGTTCTTTTTTAAAAACACTGTATCTTATTAGCATTAGCTTCAAAGGACCCCACACACTCCTTATGGGGATTGTTACTGTTCGAGCCCACTGTGGCTCTCCCCTGTTCCACCGTCCACGCCTCAACCGCGCGCTTTCTCCGCCCCCGCGCAGGGAGCCGACTGTGCGCCGACGAGAGGGATCCCTCCAGCTTTTCATCCCTGACCACCAGAGTTCGGGGTCTCATTTACATGCCCGTTCCCTTGTTTTTTCTACGTTTTGAAAAGATAGGGGTTCGGCCAGTTCTCTGGTGAAATCAGATGCTCTCGACTTTGCCCTCGTCGCGCCCTAGTCGGAGCTCTCATTCCTATCCTTTCCATCCCGTGCACGCACGTTTACTGCTGCACACGCCCTTGCTCGCACGTCTACTGCAGCTTCCTATCCTTGTGCTCGCACGTGTACTGCAGCACCCTGTCCTTGTGCTCGCACGTATACTGCAGCGCATCTCCTCCTATGTGCACGCACGACTAATGCTGCGCCTCCAACCTTCACCTGTCCCTTAACGTCTTTCCCCCGGACATAAGGATTGAAGTGTTATAGCCCTATGTATGTATTTGTCGTGTATTTTCCCTGTGTAAAGTGTACATATTGTTGAGAAATAAAGATTAGAACTTTAAGATTAAGATCTCCTGATGATGATCCATGTCGTGGGCTCGTAGCGGCAAATCGACTTTCTGAAGGAATCTTACATATCTTGGTTCTAGTCACGGCTCCTATTTCTCAGCTGGTCCCTCGCGCTCCCGCCCAGTTACCACGATCGATTTTTGATTTATTTATTGTAATAAATGTGTCTATGGTTGCTGATCATAAGTCATGACTGCGCCAACTTTCTACGAGCCGTTTTTGCACAATCCGCTATTTAAATTTCAGTAATTTCCAGGACAGGCCGCCTAAAATCAAAATGCAGTGCCTGTTGAGTGCAGTAGTAAGGATTATAGAATGAAAGAGAGAAAAATACGAATTTGGCCAGTGAAAAGAAAAGGCGCCTGGAATCTGAGATAAGACTGTCGCTCGGCTGCTGGTCTGTTTTCCTGTTAACATGATTAACACTCATCCGACCGACCCGAACCATACTTAAGGACTGCACTACCTTCATTTATGCCAGGAATTATCAAAACTTTTTCCCACAGATTGTGCAAATACAGTGCCTCATAGAAAGCTGGCGCAATGATGACTTTTGATCAGCATCTATAGAAGAGTTTAATGCAATACAAAAATTCAAAATCTCATGGTACACATCTCCATGAGGAAGGTGCAGGGTCCTCTATTAAATTTCTAAAGCTCATTTTTCAGAGGTGGATTTGTTCTGCAATAAATTCTTTCACCAAACCTTGTTTGCTGAATGGACGTTGAAATGTACAGCTTTGAAAGCAATGAACACAATTTTCTCAAAACTTAAAAAAGTCGGCATCCGCTGTTTTTACATAAGTGGATGGCTTTGTATCCCTACCAATGTGCAATTGTCTCACTTTTGACATTTCAGGACCTTTTGATTTAAGCATTAATTTTGCCTCATCCCAAAATTTGTCAGAGAATTTTTAGCACCACCCCCTTTTGCAGCTCTGAGGGTTATGAAAATCAACATCAAACAATGGCAAACTTTAATCAGGGCCGAATTATTTTCATTCCGGATTCAACGAGATTGAACCAGATTAGGAATCCTAGATTAGTTTACCTTCCATAGGGTAAAATCAGGAACTTGAGGAGGCACTTGGGTTGCGTCGTCCAGGATGTCATTCAAGAGGTCACGTGGATTAACCCCACTTATTATCTGATTTTGAATCCAAGTCATTGGTCCTGCAAAGAAATGATTGATGCATAAATGAAAAGTAAGTTGCATAAAAAAATCAATACGAGACCTTTACATGGAAAAACTTGGTTCATTCATTAAGTTTAGCTCACTTTTTCCTTGAATGACACATGTAAGTTAGACTCTGGAGACTGAGAGTTTTTCTCAGATGAATGAATAGACAAATTGTCTATCATCTGACAAAAATAGTTCAAAACGTTAGTTCCAAAAGTGTATTACAGAAACTTAAAAGGAATGGACCAAAGCATACGGAATGGAACTGCGATTTTGCCTCAATTTGATATTATTAACTTAGAAGAGAAATTGCATATCCTAAAAGCTATTTTTTCAAATTTATTAAACAAAATCCTGGATGTTAGTGCCTTCCCAGAAAAAATTTGCTTGTGTATCCTAATTTCATCAGGGCTTTCAAAACCGTGCTTTTATGTAATATAGATTCTCTACAATGTGTGATGTGATATACTTAACAGATAAGAGTCTAAATAATTTCTACGATGCTCAAAAGAGTCCTCCAAATATTACCTGAGAGGCTGCTTCCTAAATTCTCTCAGATTAGGTCTTCAGATTGAAGGAACTTTGTTTCACATAACTTATTAGCCTTAAGGAATAACTTAAAAAATGAAACAAAAGATTCATTCTGTAGACTGGATTGTCTCTGAAATGCAAACTGAAAAGCAGAGGTGCTTCCCTTTCACCAAGCATCTGAGTGATGGTAGGGCTGTTTTGAAATTTTAATTTTTAAATCATTAAAAAAAATTGGGTATCTTTTAGGAGAATATTTATTAAGTTTTCTTTTTTATCAGTGCAATGAAGGTACAAGTGCAATTTGGACACATTTGACCCACATTTTACTTAATCAGACAGTTTCTTTTCTGATAAGTTAAAGGGGTCTGATCATAATTGATACCTCTTAAAGAGAAGCATGATAAATGGATTCATAAATACAATATTTACCGGCAAAACATTTCCAATCTTGTCCACTAATATCAGATAGTCCTGTTATATCTGACCAGTTACTAACTGTTGAAGAGACTTCGTCATCATCCGATGCTTCTTCCTCTTCCTCCACCCTGAAACAGTGAAATTCATGTTAATGCATTTACTTAATTGATGGCAGTACCACTTTGGTGCAAAAGATGACAAATAGGCTATGAAAAAAGTTAATACATCTTTAGTTGAAGCAATGCTGTGCTTTTCTAGTCACACTCAATCATTTCATCTGCCAAAGTGGACCATAAGGCAGGGTAAGAATTAAGCACGACCACATATGTTTAAGGGCTTTTTTTTTTCCAGGGAACGCGATGGAAGCAGTTCGGGCTGGTTCGATCAGTCTGAACCAACCTCAGCCTACCTCGGAAGAGTGGTCCAAGCGTTCCACTGGAACACATAGAATGCGCCAATGGAAAGGGATAAAAAAGTGATGCAATCCGTTGCGGTCCACTGTGGTTCGGATTGAAAAAAAAGCCCTTTACCGATTAAAATTTCATGGAGAACATCTTTAACATCCCAATAACTTCCAGTAAGAACTCTTGAGTGGAAAAACATACTCATAAGTAGTTTACATTATGGATTGTTAATTCAAACTTTGGCTTCATATAAATTTCCTTACTCCTTTAATACAAAGCACCTTTTAACTGGTAAAAAAAAAAGTAGTACACAGGAAAATTCTTCCATTGAAAGAAGTACTGGAATAGATTTGGTCCATGATTTAACTTGATTGGACTTAGGTTTTTAGATGGGTGGGAAGTATGCATGAAAATAGACGAGGAATGTTATTTTTCAACTTGCGAGTTGATTCTGAGAAATTTTAATGCTTTCATCATATTTTACGTAAAAATATCTTACCTGTCATTGTTGAGATCACTTTGTCCAGATGGTTTCCCTTCTTCAACGGTGTTTTTGAGCTCCACAAAAGGATCACTATCTCCATTTTCTGCAAGTACAAGTAAGAAAAATAGAAATTTATGGTACTGAGATAGAATTGAAAACAAACAAAGAAAAATAAAAACCTGAAAACACACACACAATAAAAAACTTACACGAATCAAGAGAGAATGAGCATTATAATGTCTCTCCTACACATTGAGTTATTGAGCCATGTCCATTAAGGTAGTTTCCAAAATAAATTTTAAACAAATCTTCATAAATTTGATATCACACTAAGTACTCAGTAATATAGCTTCTTTAGGTCATGGATTGATTTCTCCCATTAATTTGTACAAAACAGTAATTATTATTTCTTAAAGACACAGAACCTGGAGCAGAGCAGCATAGTGGCAGATCTTGTCTCTAAAGCACTTGATGCCACCTGAACAGAGACAGCATACAAATTGTAGTAGGAATTGGTCCTAAAAACTTGCAGCAACATTGAAAGAGTAGAGAACTTGACAAACAGGTAGAGGTGTCATCAGATAAGTTGGCATTTGTTTACTTTCCGTTTGCAAGCGCAGACAACAAGTTCAGGCCTCTGCACGGACCGTCATTTGCTACTATCCATCTTGAAAATATCCGTCTCATGATCGTATCATAAAAAACCAACCAACGTACTTACCAATTATGATCCGTGACTTTAAGGTGGTTGTGATTTCGGTGTGGCTAAACATTAAAGTGTTACAAGGTTTAACAGTAGGTATTAAAAAACTTATACAAGCTTGTGTTCTCGCTTCTGCCAGAGTCAGATGTTTTCATGTAAAAAGGAAGGGACAAAAAAACGCCAGCAAACCGAAAGTAAACAAATACCAATTTATCTGATGGCACGTCTGTAGTATAAAAACCTAGTAGAACAGGAGAATTAAGGGGTTTGGCGCGTTGAGTTTCGAAATAACATGGATCCTTGAGGCACAGAGAATGTTCCAACTGACTTTTGGATGCTTAAAAATTGGAATGGAGCAAATTTAGCACAGCATGTGAATTGATACTAGTTCTACTTGAAACCATGAATACCTCAATTTCTTCAAAAACCGCACTTGTGCGCCTTGTCCTCCAAGCCTCTCAATTCTATGGCATGTCCCTGCATGAGTATCCTTATCCTGTTTCCTTCTAGATGATAACATGTTCTCCAAGGTGTGCACTTATTCTGCTCACTATTTCTCTCTGCTAGATTGAGTTTTCAGCAAAATCCTTAGATGTACAAAAGTACCTTTCCTTCAAGTACCCAATTGCTTTCTTAAATAAATTTTCAGGGGAATGGCACTTTTGGGCCTTATCCTTTTAACACCTTATTTAAGTCTCCTGATCTTGGTTCTTTCCCTTAGCAACCTTTTCGACTGAAACTAGGTATGCAAAATTATGCGTTCATTAAGAATTGGTAGAGATGTGAACAATCTCACATTCCACTTTGTGGGTACTCAATTGACCAACTTAAGCAGTTCCAAAAGAGAAGCCAAGAAATGACCAAAAATATTTGAGATTTAATTTCAGCTGAAATTGCCCCATCTAAAGGCAAATCTGAGAAGAGTGCGAATCTTTGGCGTAAGGTCAACTTTCTTCGACCACAGTTGCGTCAACTAAAAGTCTGACACAGTTGGCTTTGGAAGCAGATTTATTTTGTATGGTTCAGCCAAACACAGAGATAGAGTGTTTATTGTTTATGAGATTGGCCCGTGCAACTGATAAGTGTTATCAGTGTTGTCAACAGGTACAGAGATGACTTGGCCCTTGCCTGTGCTAGATGGGACGATTTCTAACCTGCAAGGTATTTGTTTTCATCTTGACTTCAGCTGCCAAAGTTGAAAAATTGATAGGACACGCCTCCATCTCAACATGGCGGCTAGGCAGCCGGAGAAAAGGTGAAATCGGACAAAAATCCGCCATCTTGAGTGCTAATGGAAGAAATTTAAAACCACGGATTCAAGTTGTACTCACGGTTTCCAGGCTCTTTTGATGTGTACGCAGACGAAGCACAAGTCCCTAAGTTGGGTGCACTAACTAAATTTTGGTCACCATCACTATTTTCTAGTTTAATCCTTTTGGCAGGAGACAAGTAATCAAGATCTTCTGAACTCGACCCCATTCCTCAACAATACGTAGTGACGTTACAGGAAACTGGCCAACAACCTCTCTCGTCGGTCATACCAACCTGACAGTGACCTGAAAAGCTTTCACTGTGCATAAGTTTTGATTGATAGAGTTTAAACTGACCAAAAATTTAAATATTACGACCTTGATTTATGTTATAAATTAAATTAATTAGAAATTGTATCATATTGGAGTCCGCCGAAACGAGAATCATCATACGAAACACACTTTCAGAGTTGGGAAATCTCATTTTGGGGCCAGACTGATAACAGAGTGACCTATCCGCGGCCTCTCTTGCATCCTCTGAGTTGATCGTAAATTCCCTGTTATTTTTCCCTATTCCCTCAGCAATTCCCTTTCCCTCTTTTCGTTCATGTTGAGCGCCTGAATCGTGTATGTAGTGTCCTGTGATTTTCCAAAATGGTAAGTAAATTTATCCTCTTCCATCCTGCACTTATCCGTCGGAATCATCAATTTATTTAGTTTTAAGTGCTGGTAACTGCTTCAGCTTTCATATTACACCTTAATTGTCGCACAATATTCGTTAAGCCAAGCAGCCTTCGACGTGTTAACCCAATGTTTACATGGGGTTCATGCCGCATCTTGAATGAATTCCAATCTTATTGACCAGCTACCATCCCATTGAAGGAAATCATGGTCTTGTACACTTCGGGAGATTCACTGGATTGTCCCAATTATCGACCCTTATTCCAAAGTTAATTTTCTGCACTGGGTTTATGATGAAGTGTCTGGACCCTTTGAGGTTAGTTTTGCGTCCCTTAAGCTAATGAGCGAGTCAGGATTCTTTTCACACTAATGTCCCTTTTTCCAAAGCGCTAAGGCTGTGATTAAATGGCCAAGTGTAAATTATCTATTGAGCTTACTTTCTCATAGTACAGAAATCTAATACTTGCCAAGATTGTTGTGAATGACAATTATTGTACCCGATATTGTAGGTATTAATTGTTCAGCGGCAAGAACTGCTCTCTTGTTCTGATTTATTCCTTGATCAGAAACCATTGTCTTTATTTGTTGCCCAATTTTCGAATTTGTCAGCCTAATTATGTTCACAGCATTTGGCGAAAACTGTGATCAGACTGATGGTCGAATTTTGTTGGTTGACTGGACGGGACTAGATTGAGGTAGAACAGGATTATTTGAAAGGTTAATTAGTAAGATCGCGAAGACTGATGTCAAAGCTGACCTATTGCACAATTCCATTTCACTTTAATCTAATTCAGTCCATGAACATAAAATTTTGGCTTTTGAAATGCTAGTCATGTTATGGATTTCATTTGATTCATTTTAATGTGAACTACTTAAGCTGTTAAGTCTTGTTCAAGCTGTCAGAAGATGTTCTGGTCAGAAGTTGTGTATGTAAATGTATTCTAACTATTAGGTAATGCTGAGTACTTGACATTGGCATCAGCATTCGTTCATTCTATTAAATTTGTGGTACCAATTTATTCAATGCTCTGTCTCTCATTAATTCTTTGTTTTGTTTTTCTCAGGTGGAAACAAAAACAGCAACCATCAAAACCCGGCGTTGCATGAGCAACAGGCTTCTATGCAGAAAACAGATGGTAAGCGATCTTGTCATTCTCCCTCCTGTAGAAGATACAGCAATATCCTCTTTCATTAGTGACTTAATCCCTGGTGAATTTTAAACCCTCTGGTTTAAATTAATTTAGATTGTCTCAATTTTGTAGTTGATTGTTTCAATTTTGTAGTTCTATTCATTGCCGAATGGTGTAAAATTTCAATGGTAAGCAAATCAGCCCTCCATTTAATTATTGAGACATTTATCGAAGTACATGCTGAGTGTTGTGAGTTATCCTCTTTCCTCTTTTCCCACTATAAGGTGACTGCATCGTGGGCAAAGTCAAGTGGAAAGTTCTTTAAACACCTTTGCTTCTTCCTTTACCATTATACCACTCAGTATGCCTTCCTAAATTGCTTGTTTCCCCCATCATTCCTTAGTTAGTCTCAAGGAATTGACGCCCTAAGAGACAAAGATTAGTGCCTTCCTAGTAATCAGCCTCCATACAAAATATGAAATATAGTTTTATGCTGCATGTTTTCTCTTCAAAATTTTATGAGGGAGGAAAACGAATCATACAAAATGAGGTCTGGAAATCAACTCCCATCCATGATATAAGGGCTTTTTTTTTTATCGCAGAACAGGGTGGACCCCATTGGAACGCACTGGATCGAAATCCTGAGCAATCCGGACCGATCCAAAGTGTTCCACGTGATAAAAAAATCCAAACTTGGAATTTGGTTGGATTTGTAATTGTTTTGATTTGTTGGGGACGGCAACTTCCTTGCATTAGGTTAGGATCACATTGGATCGCAAGCTCGCCCTACCTCGGAAGAGCGATCCAGCGTTCCACCCTGATCTACTCGGAACGCTTGGATCACGGCTGAGGATCGGAATAAAAAAATACCAATGTTCATCGCAATCCACTGCGATCCGCATATAAAAAAGCCCTTTAAGTACTTAAAGCCAACATTGGTTAAATAGCAAAAATACAAACGACATCATTTTTTTAATCTGACATCCATTTTATCTGTTTAAAAAATACCTGTTAATATAGTGTTTAAGAATTGATTTCTCAAGTTCCCATTTTGTGAATTGTTTTTCTGCATAAGATTTTGAAGTAAAAGTGGGTGATGTCCTTTTTTAGCCCAGACCTTGTCTAGTGGCCTATACCTGTTAGTCATACCTCCCTTATTTTTCATCTTGTTTTCTGTATCTGCTTTTTTTCTCTTCTTTTTTTTTTTAAAATCTAATTTTCTCCTTGATTTGTCCTGCAGGTAGTTGACATTTACCATCCCCGTCAGAAATCAGTAAAGAAGACAGATGTCCGAGAAAAATTAGCAAAAATGTTCAAAACAACTCCAGATCTAGTATTCGTTTTTGGATTTCACACTAAATTTGGTGGCGGTAGGTCAGTAGGTTTTGGATTAATCTACGACTCTATGGACAAAGCTAAGAAATTTGAACCCAAATACAGATTAGCAAGGGTAAGTCCCCGTATCATATTTCAATATAGCATTTGGATTTGGTAAGAAAGAGTACCTACTCTTAATTTTTTTAAGGAAAAACTAAATACCTACTGTGCAGAGAAAAGAAGTGAGTGGTTGATGAATTAAGTGGAGAAAATTGATCCAAAACTTGCTATTTTAAAGGGTTTAAAACACATCTAGCACAAGACTTCATTTTTTTCTTTCGAAAAAATTTAAAATATTAAGCGCTTAGGAACTACCTTACCGAAAGACTCATGTTGGTTTGATTAGTCAGACAACTGTATCGCTACTTTCCCGCCTCCATGAAGGGCATTAAAAATTCAATTTTAACCCTGAGAACTTCAATAATTCTCATTTCATAGGTATTTGAGAGGATTTCAAACAAATATAAACTATAGTTGGTCAACCTCCTCTACTTGTTAGAAAAACAGAAACAATCTGAACCAAATTTTTCTCCAGTATAGAGGTAGATAAATACATATTACAAATGTTATCTAACAGTAGTTCTAGAACTACTAATTCATGGAAGGATATCAAAGATAAGGCAGGATTTTTCACGATCCAGAGGATTGTTGAGACAAGAGGCTGTCTGTGCCAATATTGCAGGCTTATAACTTTCTGTGAAAGGTGCGCAAGGAACTGAAGGTCAATGAGCACACTTGGTAATCGTTTCATCCGATTTTCCTTCTACTTCGACTTAGCAGTCATGTCTAATGCAGGGTTGTTTGTCACCTTCATTTGCTTTTTATCATGGATTTGACGTTTTGAAATCCACCGAATGCTTGAAAAGTATTTCAAATTATGTCTTTTTTTATAACCTTCCAGCGTATCTTCAAGTGTCAGGGAATTTCATTTTTCAATTCCTGTAGCAACCCTGCTAATGTAGGTTTCCCAACCACAAAAATTAATTCTAATTAATCAGCTTGAGCATATTATGATGGTACTTAAAAAATTCTAAAGAAAACTGATAAACACTTCACAGATCACAGTAGGTAATAAAATTTGGTCTTGCTCGGTTTTTCTTCCCACATTTTGTCTTTTTGTTTTTCTTTAATTATCCAAATCGTATTTATATCCTAACTGAGCTCATGTAATGCTCCGTGCAATAGCTATTCTTTTTTCTTTTTTTTGGGGGGTTTTGTTTTAATCGCTTCTCATTATTATGTATTTCATTCATTCATTCATTTCCTTATTAGTATATTTGTTAGTGTCATGTTTTATTTACTATGAATGTGCACAGCTCATTTTATTTGTTCTTTTTCAGCACGGTCTCTATGAAAAGAAACAGATAGCCAGGAAACAGCGTAAAGAAAAGAAGAACAGAATGAAGAAGGTCAGAGGAACGAAGAAAGCTAAAGTAGGAGCCGCAGCCAAGAAGGTAACAGGCCTTACTTAATTTTTTTTCTTTTCGTGTAGAAGGCAAGCTGACGCTCCCAAGTAATTTTAAATTGCTGCTCAACAGTTGGCTGAGGATATTGATAGCTAACACTATTAAAACAGCTGTTTGTCGATGGAGTTAAGAGAGACAGTTGATTTACTCAATAATTTGCTAGTGTCTAATGTGAGGTCAACTTTTGCTCTCCAAGGTATTTTTCTTCTCAAAGAATAAGTGAATAAATATTCAGGATGGCAAATCATGAAAAACCCTCATCAATAGTTTTAGGTGCGCAAGTTGGCATAACTCTCTGTTAAGGGAAATCTGATCGAGTTCCTTTGACTGATCTTTGTGCTTTCTTTGCCAGCTTGTGCAGCGAACTTGCATGCTTAAAATGCCGTATCTTTATAATTTGGAACCAAGTGGACTGTCAATTCTAACACACATGCCTCTCATAGAAAAATAGCCCAGTGAGTTATGCCAACAGGATATTGGCCCTGAAATGCATGTCTGTCAACAATTTTTATTTTTTGGTTCAAGTTTCTTCGACCTTTGGAATTCTTATAACAAACGATTCAGCTAGACTATGTATCAGAATTTTTAAGAAACATTTTGATTATGAGTGAAAAATTATTTTATTAGAGTTTTTAAGCACATGTAGTAGTCAATTTTGAGTCTGTTTCAACTTTATTTTCATATTCCTAACCAGTAATATTTGAAGCTCTGAAAAATGCATCTTCTGTCATCTGAAGAATTTCCTAATTGAAAGCATTATTTTAACATGTTCAATGCCAATATTCTTGAGCATTTGTCCCTGGCGGGCCAGAAAAACTTGCCAAAGCAAAACAGGAAAGTGTGAATGCTCCAATCTCGATCACCATGATACTACACTCGCCATCGGTTACACTTGTTACCATCACTCTGCAATTAGTCCTTTGGAAGACTGGCAGGCAGCACAGTTACTATGCAACAGCGCGATGGAAACAGGCCACACAAAACATTTCTCACTGTGGCCTTTCTTTGCTTGGCACAACCAACAAAGAAAAAAGTCGGTATGACCAGCGTGGCATTGAAGTTGTGAACATGTTGATTGCCGACATGTTTTGCCTCATTTTTCCCTGTGATTTTACATAAACATGGTCCAAAGAGCGAAACTTAAATGAACGGTCTGAAAAACTCCAGAAGCAAGGTCATCAGATATTGATATCAAGTTTGCATACAGTAACTGGCAGTTGGCCTGTCAGTTTGCCCTTAGTTGATAGAAGTTGATATCAGTGCGACATCAGTCTGCTGTTGTTGACATCACAAGCCTGATAGGATGCTACGGTATATCTTGGTGTGAGTGTTGATCAGTGGCGGATTTAAAGGGGCATGGTGGCATGGCCCTCCTTGCATCCCCAAAAATGGAAAATGGAAAATGGAAAAAATAAAGGACAAGAAGGGAAAAGGGAGGGAAAATAAAGTGCTCTGAAAAAGTTACTGAAACGGCTTCAAGACAGAACTGTTCAACCAAAGGTTACTCAACACCGCAGAAATAATTACCCAGTCCATGCCCTAAAATAAAATTATGGTATCATTCATTAATTTTTAACTTTCAAGTAAAGCACCAATTGTATGCTAAAACATCTTAAAATTCAATCTGGAAGGGCCTCTTTTTATAAATTCTCCGGAGGAGGCCCTCTAAACCCCCCGCTCGACATTAGTCAACGGCCCTCCCTCCGACTCACTCTGGATCTGCGACTGGTGTTGACCCATGAGCTTGCCGATTCTTGCAATGTATCAATAGGCAAAACTCTTAGGAGCAGATGGTCACAAGAATTTGCATGACTTAGCAGCTGCACCGCGTCCCAATAATTTTCGAAGTGCACGGAAAATGACTGAAACAGTATCGTAAGTAGTAGAGAAGTTCATTGTCAGAAAGGCTACAATCCTCTAATGTAGTCTTTCTTATTAAGCTCTGGGTACTCCTTTTAGTTGTTGAGAATTTTTTCCCAGCAATTGAAATTAAGAAGCAGCCCTCTTGGGGAAATCAGCATCTAAGAACATGGACTCGCAACTTTTGTGTTGCTGAACTTGAGGAATTTTCATGATGCTAAGTCGAAGAATATCTATGTTGACAAATTCGTTGATGGTAAAAAATCGAGTTTATGTTTCACCAGGAACTGACTTTTGTTTTCAGGGAACTAAGAAATGAGCATCCCGTGCGATTCCCATCTTCATTCTTATTTGGTGATCAATTCTATTTTCTAGCACTCATTTGGTGTGATTGCTCATCCTTTGCATCCATACAATCCTTGTTTGTCCCTCCATACTTCTTTAGTACGGCTCACTATTCAACATTTGCCGTTTTTTGAACTGTAAATCATGTGAGGAATTTTTCCCAACTGTGTGTCTCATCCTGTTTTAATTAGTGACTAACTCTTTTTTTGTTGTCTAATCAGGAAGCCTAAATACCTGTATTAGTACTTCTTTACAGCTGAGGGAACCTTCTCACTTGTTTTTTTTTCAGACTGAATGCAATCTATGCAATTTTTAAATAGTTAAAACAGTGTAACTGTGAAATAGAAGGAAAGAAGTAATGTCTTCTTAAGGAACAATCAGATCGTTTAACTAGAATTTTATTTTCACAGGCTGAAAGCTTAAACAAATTTTCTACTTAATTACTATTTAAAGTTAGTATGAGATGAAATGTTAGGATTTTCATAAATAAATATTGATCTGTTTTTTATTCGGAGTAAATTTAGCCTAAGGATATGCTTTTTAAAAGTCAAATATCTTCAGTAGCTCATTTTTTTGCCTCATCACTCAAATTTAAAGTTCCCTCGTGGCATGAGCTTTCTTGTAATTGTCAACTTGAAACACTTCGTCCCAAAATTACGAATACTCTCTAAGCACCCCTCTTTTATTTGTAACAGGCTCCTCAAAATATATCCTGAGGTTTTTCCTGTAGGATTTTTTGTTTTGTTTTTTGTCTTTTCTCCTCGTAGTGATAATCTAATCAGTAGGCATTGATTTATTTTAAAGTTGTCTTTTTTACACATCCGCGTTCATCCCTTCCTCCTCTGAATTTGGTTTCATACCTATTACTCATATTTTTGGTGTGTTCGGTTTTATCTGGTATCTCATTTTTTTCTGTGATACTCAGTTTATTGACTCTCATCACTGTGAGTGTGCATTTCCATGTCTCAATGAATGTCATCACATTCAGTGAAAAATGTCCTAGTGTTCAAACAAGCACGAGGACTAGGTGTGCCAGGCTCATGTTGAACCTGAATGCTGGATAACACTCATTGTAATATCATACAAGCTCTAGGTGGTCACATACATGTTTCTGTCATTTACATTGAAAATATTGCGAAAGACTGTTCATTTTCAGTTTTTCTCATGCTAATTGTTGATGTAAGAAGTCAGGAAATTTCTCCCCCTTCATGGGTAGATACCCTGGTTTGTCCCAGAGTCTTGCCTCCAGATTCTATTTCGAAAAAATTGGAATTTTCCACACCAATTTAGAGAGCAGAAAACAAGGCTTTGTGGGTTATCTTTAAATCTAAGTTTGAAAACACTATGGAGAAAAGGTTCTCGTTAAAATTTGTTTCTAATACTACACAGTTAAAGCTCCCTAAGTAGAACTATGGTTATGACGAAATTCCACTCGAGTCTTTTTCGGTCCCTAGACACATCCATAAGACGCAATGTATGCAGTAAAGACTAATTGCTGCTGAAGTCCAATTTTTTTTTTTTGGTCTCTCAACAATTCAAACTAGCGAGCTTTCACTGTATCTTTAAATCAAACATCACAATTGTAAATGAATCTTGATTCTTAAAGTGATAGCACATGTTGGCAAATACTGTAACTAATTTTATCTTGTCCCTCTTTCTGTTCACAGTAATCCAACTGAAGACCCAACAACATGTGACCTGAAACACCTCCGAAAAGTTTCGACATAACTAATTTTTGTTACAACATTCTTTTTTATTGCTATTGATATTCCAATAAAAAATGATCACTCTTTGAGTGAAACTCAAGCTCCATTTATTTGACGAACATTCATCAAACTTTCATCTCAATACTGAATGATCAATGAGTCAGTTGCCCTGGTCATAGAATCATGTTTTGATTCTTGTAAATTAGCCTAAAATAATAAGAACTGTCCAAATCGCAATTTCCTACGTTCGATATTAACAGAGGTACCGCGCTTTAAAAAGACGGGTGTTTGAAATCATCCACTGCGGTAGTGACACTCTTAGTTTCTTCCTCTTATGTTTGATCAGTGATGCAGCAGGCGTTTGGCGAAACTGCAACGGCATTAAGCATAAACAAACTGGTGAACTGACTGACGGGCTAACCGATTTGCGTCGGTTGCGTTATCTCCTGATATAAGATCCTTGAAGTGCGAATCTCTCTGTTTCTTGAGTTTGTTTATGTTAGTGTACTTGAGGTTTCGCGTTCCGCCTCCTGCATCACCGATCGAACAAAAGAGGAAGGAACCAAGGGTGCCACTACCGTGGTGGATGATGTCAAAAACCCGACTTTTCCAAGTGCCATCTCGCTTTTAACACAGATCTTATTATTTTTAGTTAATTTACAGGGATCAAACATCAAAACATGACTCTGTGACCAGCGCAACTGACCCATTACCAAACTTTTTTTATCATGTGTGATTAAAGTTGTCATTTTGGTTATCAGAAGGCAAGAACCCCACTATTTTAGCTGTAATTTATCATTAATATTGTCAGGAGTAGTAAGCATCATTTTGTGCAACCATTTACAGTTAAAGAGACCTCAGTCCACTAAGGGGAAATTTTTAGTCAAGTCTCAATCTTTGTCAAGTGGAGTTGAAAACTTTTTTATGTTTTTACACCTCTCGATCACTGGTGAAGTTGGGAGCTTTTTTTAGTGACATCCTTAGAAGTCCTCAAAAGAAGGACCAAGATACTGTACAACTCTCATGAATCAGGCAGAAGTAATTATCCTGTAAAACTTTAAGACTCACAATCAGTTTATATCGCCTAGAAGGACAAAAATGGCGTACAATCTGTATGAATCAGGCAGAAAGAATTATCCTGTAGAATTTTAAGGTTCAGTTCATATCGCCAACAGCCTATTTCTCTACTCTACTAAATTTTCGAATTTTGAACGGTTCTTCTGTTAATTAATCCCATTAGTATAGAATATCTAGATTTTAAGCTGTATATTTTTACTAAAATCTTGGAAAGTCACATCTCATCAAAGTGCGTCAGGTATCCATTGACAAATTTTACAAAAACCACTTTGCAATAACTCTAGAAGTACATTCCTACATATTTGTTAATCTGTAATTATTTTGTTTAAGAACTTGCAGTATTAACCTAGGATGCACTTGAGGAGTTATTTTAGAGTATTTCCTGATCTAACGTTTCATGCAAATTACGTGATACACTACAGCAAGACGTGAGGAGCAGGAGCGTTGGTTACATGGTTTCAAGTCAAGAAATTATTAATTAATCAACAAGTTAGCAAATCGTTCTCCAAAGTACTATGGAACCATCTTGAGAGAATTATGATGTTTCAATTTTTTAGAATTAATTACCTATCTAGCCCGTATTTCTCTAATTTCAAATCCAGTAAGGATAGGAATGCAAATTTTTCAAGAAAAAGTCATCTTCATCAGTAAAGTTGGAGAATGGACCTATTTCATTCTCAATCAAGTATCAATTATTGTAGTTCTCAAATTCTGAGGTGATAGCTTGGTAAAGGCTTTAGGTTTAAAGAGTTATGTTTCAGAGAATTTTCTCAGACAACCATCCGTGCCATCTTCTGAAGGAAAAAAAAACCTAATCTGGACATGGAAATACATAATCAAACTGGAAAAGGAAGCACAACGTTTTTGATATGTTGGATTCTAAAGATTGCTTTCTAGAGTTAAAATTAACATTTCATTCAATAGGAAGGTACCTATCTTGGTCAGATTTACTTTAGTATTTGTGTAATAGGTACACAATGATCATTCTTGATAATTTGACTCACAGGAATTAGATGACTTTTTGTCATGAAAATATATCAAGACATTTTGCAGGTAAGTACCCTCTCATAGATAGTTTTAGACCTAGGTAAGGGTACCTACCTATTAGATTCAAGTTAAGCCGTCATCAGATCATCTTAAGTAATTCCGTTTTAAATTTAAGGAGAACCTAACATTTCATATTCATTAATCTTTTCTCATGACCGGTTTATCTTTCCAGTTTCCCGATAATTTTCCTAAGAACCCATGAGAGTCATAAATTGTCTTGAGTTGGAAGTTGCTTGGGATAATTGTCACCTATTCCCATGAAATGCGTCAAGTTTAAAAGAAAAAGCTTGATTTCTCTCATCAGGCGTCATAAGATCTGCCTCTATTTTGTTTCCCTGTGTCTTTAGGGGACTGCTGGAAGTCTAACTTTCCGTTTTATTTACAATATCACACGGTACTCAACTGTAATCGAATCAAATTTTTTTTTCGGCCAACTTTCAATTCAACCTATCAAATGCTTTTGTTGAATGGAAAGTTTGATTGTCTGGATTGGGCCTTGAAGTATCTCCCACGGAATTAACTGACGAGTTGAAAGTGAGACAAGAATGAACGAGACAAGAATTTTAGTATTTCTAGTTCGTACTTGGGTGAACTTTATCACTTACAGACCACAATAATTTTTGTGGTTCTGTGTTGGGATTGGTGACTTTTCATAAAAAGCTGGTACACGGCGACCCTAAATGAAATCTGTCCATGGAAAAGGTAGCAATACCATGGTCCAAATCAGAGCTACCTACGATTTTACTTGATAATCTGATACAGCTCCTCATCATACCATTTCATACTATTAACCCTTTATGCCTTTCATTTGCGGTTGCGGCCATGGCTACTCATCAGTGTTGGCGCTCTTAACTAAAACATATTTTAAGTACCTAAGCAACATTTGCAACAGAGAGTAGCAAAGAAAATTATAATAACAGTAAAACCGACAACACCGGGGTTGAAGAGTATGACGTCATGCCAGATATTTAAGGGTTTATTTACCTCACACTCACACATTCATTCGTCCTTTTTGTCTGATATGAGTTATCATGTAGGGACAGGTTCAAGTTCACAGGAAAATCGTCAGACCCTTTATTCTTGAGGAGTTGAGGGTCCTGTTTAGTTTTTTGTTGCGCAAATTACCTAAACTTCATTTTACTCTCTTTCTTTAAACACCAACCTATACCACAATGGTCGCGTGGAGTTCCTTTCGGCCCTTCGGCTCCCTCTTTTCAAATGTTGCTGTTAAGCTCTCCTCCGCAACTGCTCCTGCAAATACATCTAGAGGTAAGTATAATCCTTTAACATTCGCTCCTCTGTAATCATGATTCCTTATTTTTAGTCATTTAATGCATCTAAATGCTCACTTACAGCAATCGATGCACAAGTACAGTTCAAACAATTATTGGCATTTAGGGTCAAACAAGCAAGAATCATGAACTCTCCAACTTTGGAAAGGATGAAATTTCTCTAAAGCTCTTAGGAATTGTCACTGAAGGGTGATTGGATGATGGGCTTGATCAACTTACACCTCCGTTGTTCCATCTCCGAGAGTAAAAAGTGAGGTTATGTTTAAGTACAATTGCACGCTGGCTAAGAGAGCCAATTCTACAGAGCAGGCTGACTTTATATCAATGCATAAGTTAGATCTCTAGTTCCACCATTCAATAGGGATGTAGTTCAGGTTATAATCCATTACTCCTTTTAGGCCTAATAGTACCATAGAGTTGCAATGAACTGGAGCACCGATGAAGTTACTTTTGTGAGACTGTTTTGTCTAGTACACCTGAGACAAGTGTGTAGTAACTAGCAAGGCTGTATACGCAGGGTCCCAGATCCGTGTTCTGCTCAGAAAGTAAAGTACAGGTATAAGATTTATTTCATAGAACTCGAGAGTTTTGTACATTTTTTAATTTGGTTTGATATTGTTCAACATAATTATTAGCCAAAATTTGCAATAATAACTATTGATTTTAATTAGTAGATCTGGAAAACCACTTACAGCCCGTGTTTATCTCATAAGCCGCCGTGTTAAAAAATGCTGTTTGGTTCACACTTCAGCGAACAAGGGGCTCGGAATGGCCCATTCATGGATTGACCTCATTGCGACTCTATTCTACTCAACGTCTTAGTCAAAGTGAATTGCCACATTTAGCATAGGTTACCTTACTCAGATAAGTTCAACCTGTTACACTAGGTTTTCTAAGCAGTTATGAATTTAGTCAATGTCACATATTACTCAAAAGTGACCTTAAGTAACTTTTCTTTGTTCACAGTTTTGGTTCCTCTGCGTGCAATGAGTGGGCACCGATTATTTGAAATCCACCCATCAAAATATATGTGGGTGAAATATAAGGACACCACGCACTTTTACATCATGATCGGATTAATCCCATGGGTTTGCGTTATTACGTACCTCAACCTTTTCATCGGACCAGCTCAACTTGCTCCAATACCTGAAGGCTATGTCCCTAAGGAACATGAATACCATAGAGTAAGTACTCCAATCAAGAAACTGATAACTAGTCCCCATTTTAGACTTGAAACTCATTTCTTTTAAATTCGAAGTAGATATGTAGTATCACGCAAAACGGAAGGAAAATCTTAGCTTTTCACGTGTCTCATATTACTGACATTTTTTAATATTATGCTCCCATCAATATAAAAACCGCAAATTTTCCGCGATATGAGGGTGAGAGTTGTGTATTCTTTTGTGTTCTTAATCAAACATTACTTAGCAAATTTGAATAAGTGCTGGTATATTGAGGTGAATAAAGAGGGATGTACTATACAATCATTTTTAATGATTTTACCGCTGAAAAAATTGCGCATTTCCTGTGACACTGAGATAAAAAGTGCGCAATTAATCACTTTTTCACATGCGGAAATTGAGAGAGCAACTATTTGAACTCCGGAGTTGATGTTCAATATCTCTCAAAATTGAACGGAAATCTTAAAAAAATATAAATGGCGTACTTGCCACGGTATGGAGGTGACAATTGTGTGATCTGTATTCAAGTATCCTTCCTGCTCTTCAGTGTGCAGTTAGGGTAAGCAAGGTAAAATCACTAGTATAAAATTGACTGAATTTCTCCCAATGTATTTGAAAAAACAGGTGATCAAGAAATGTATTAATTGTAGTAAAAATATAATGGGAGGAACAGAAATACACATGAGGTCACAGTGGAAGTATCAGAGCTGAAAAGATAGAGATGATGAATCTGTGATATGCAGCCAGGACATGGACCAACAGAAGCTTGCTTGCTGTGGGCTAAATTAAAACAAGGGACTTAACCAGAGAATTGAGACAGGAAAGGAGTTCGCTGAGTCCGAGCTAATTGATACTAGCTGTAAGCTTGATTCTCTCGTTTTTAGCTGCAGGAAAATAACACATGATCTCTGCGCAATGCCAGGCAGCCCAAGTCTGAGGTCCCAAGAAATGTGGGCAGTTATTCAGGTGCATCATGGCAGTGCCTTTTTTCTTACCACATCTCCTTCTGTCAAGGTCATTGCCGCCAAAGAAGGGGTTATTTTTCAACCAGACGTGTTTTCAGAGTACATTCTCGACGCTAGGGGGGGGGGGGGAGGTTTTTAGAGAGTAGGTATAAGTTTCAAACTAAATACCCAATCCCCTAAGTTCGTTTGTTTGCTCAATGTATCTCTTAGTTCTGTAACATACTTAACTGTTTTTGTTTTAATCAATTTTTTTTCTTGTATCAGCATCCATTGACGCGATTTATTGCCCAGTATGTGGTGCCATCCACTCAAGAGGAATATGAAAGAACTTTGCATGTTCTCTACGAAGACGACGAGATAAAAGCCATGCAGTACGTATATGTTTCTCTTATGCTTGATCATGTACGACAAAAATATGTTTTACATTGTCAGAGAAATCTTTATAAAACAGGGAAATTCCTGAGAGCCCTGAAATGATGGGAGCAGGAATTTGTTTTTGCAGGAAAATAGTTTCAAATCAAACCTTTGTAGTCATTGATGTGGTAAGTAGGGCAGTCCTTATTTTGGACTTTTCCAAAATCGGAATGTGACTCACCGGCAGTTAGTGAAACAATCTTTAAGCAATTAGTGCAAACATTTTCTGCCAAAAAGAAACATTTCTAGTGCTGTCTCAATTCTTCAAAAGTTACGGGATTTGAGCGAAATTGTGTCTCTGGCGCCTAATTAAGCAGGTATAATGCAAGTCACTGAAACTTTCAGATATCGGCATTTTTAGCACACTATTATGTGTATTCTCTATTGATGCAGACACTCTTTCTACCTTTGTTCAGGAAAGTACGCTTTGATACTTTTAAAATTGGCTAGAAAAGTAATTTTTGGTGGATAATTTGATTTTGGAGTTTTGCGATGCCCATAAAAATACATTCAACTATTTCCATGTGGGTTTTATTTATATGCACCTAACAATGACTAACAATGGAGAATGTAAAATCAAACATTTTAAGATTTTTAAGCAGCAGTATAAAGGACAATAAAGCATTATCATTTAAAGGAATGTAAAAAACAGATTTACTGGAACAGATGCAAACCCTATTTTAAGATGTAACTTCATTTTCTAATATCTCAGCTGGCTTTGGAATAGCAGGAAAGCAGAAAGTTTTTTGTTTCAATATAAATGAAGGTTATTTTTTTCGTGATTTTTTGTTGTTGTAACTATCATATTGTCGACTAGTACGAAAGCCCCTTTTGAAGGCTTCATTTATTTAATGTAAAATGACAAAAATAAAAATAAAACACTCTCACAAAAATACATTACAGTGACAAGTTAGGGCAAAGTAGTGCACTTGACATTTTTCTTTAATAAAAAAGTAATCCACTCTGTTACTTTCTTCACTAAAATCAACTTGCTAGTTGGTCTCTTTTCAAAAGCCTTGACTGCATTCACGAAAAATATCTTAACATCGAGTGCTTTCACGAAAAATATCTTAACATTGAGTGCTTTCACGAAAAATATCTTAACATCGAGTGCTTTCACGAAAAGGGTGGGAGCACGATTTCACGCCAGAAAATTTTCTGGACCCCAGTGGAATTGTGTAGTTTTCAATGTAACACTTAAGTTAAGGAAACATGAAAATTTTCTCCAACTTGCCAGTTTTACACATGGAAGACATGGCAGAGGTTAGCTCATAATAATTTGATTGGAAACAATCTCATCAGGGAAATCAGTGTTAACTGATGATCTTTTATTCAAGCCCAGATCTCAACATAATGAGATCCTAATCTTCCTAGTTTGCCCATCTCTCCTAAAAAGTCAAGTATCGAAGTGAATATGAGGCAAGACAAAAGAATCATTTTTTCTCTAATGGTTCAACATTCTTAAATGTCTCTGACTAAATTTACCTTTATCTTTTTTCAGAGATCTTACACGCAGAGTGGAAGAATTAATGGCCAAAAAGAAAGATTACAAATTGTTCTGGCATAGACCTGTGACGACTAAATATCACATCCACTCCGGAAAGAAATGGGCAAAACACGAAGAAGAAATTATCGGAGAAAATCAGTCATCTTTCCCATAGGCAATGTTCTTTTCACTTTTGGCCTTATTCTCTTTCTCCTCAACGGTTATGCAGTCTAGTTATAGAATTTTTATTTTGTCCATTAATCTTTGTGCACTGTTTCTTATTTTTAGTCCCGACCTCCTTTTAGACCTATGAAAAAAAGATTTTGTAAACCTCAAGGTCGTGTTAAAAATGTTAATAAAATTATGTGTTATAAAAAGCATTTTCGTAAGAGTTTCTTCTCCTTACACATCTGACGTAGTATTACAAGTACTTAATGCTAGTGTGGTTGTACCCTCATTTATTTCCTGAAACCGAGGACAGATAGAGACACTTGATATCGTCACTAGAGACAGCATTTGCAACTTTCAGAACCAATTATGTATCTTTTTAGTGGCAATACATCACCTGAAAAGTATCAAATCGACAGGGGAACTGCAAAAATATGTAGCTTATTTGCGGTGTTTCAAAATCTAAATTTCCATTTTATTCTATGCACCAAGAACAAACCACCACTGTTGATTGTAATTTTCACAGAATATTCTTCATTAACGATGAAGAAGAAAAAGAATCCTCTTTCAAAAATTCTTCTTTACAAAAAAAGTTAGGAGCGTATTTCAGAAGTGACGCACAGTATATCTTCGTTAAAAAAGTGATCAATGACACAAAGGCTGCAAATCGAGGTATGCATTTCTGCAGTTTCACCATCGATCTATTTATGGAACAAGTATCAGCATTGTTGAAATTTGACGTCATGCCATTTTGACCGCGAAATACTAATGATTATGAAGGCCTTATCTGGACCACTGCTGCAGGTTTTAGTTAGTATCTAGTTGGGGAGTCCATTATGAGATGAAACATCTACCATCTTGATTTTTCACTCGGTAACAATTGTGAATCGAAGACGGAAGATGTTCCGTGTAAAAAAAAAAACTCTCTTAGGTGTATACTTTCCTAAACATATAATTAGGTTAAAAGTTTCCCAAGTAACTTTTTTTTAATTTCTTGCCTAAAATTTCCTGAACATATCTACATTTCCCCTTCTCTCTCTCTATCCGTTTTTTTCATTTCAACCATTTGACACCTATAAGGGAGATGTCATTCTGTTTCTGGTTACCTGTGTGAATCATGTTGGTGGCTCAAGTTGAAAAATAACTATCAATGTTTCATTTATGTTTTCCAAAATTTGCATTCATTAATCTGCTTTTTATTGAACACCTACCCATTCAGTAGGTATCATCCATAAAATATTTCATGAAGTATGTGTTGCTGCGGAAAAGTAAATAACGATCATTTTTCAAAAACTACATCAATCAATTATTTCAGAATGCATTTTGTAATTCCACAATCCCAGCAAGTAATTTTGAACCAGATGCAGCCCATATTTTAGGACGGAAAGAGAGGCATATAATATAATTTTTACTAATAAATTTTAATTGTCGATTTCCTTTGACATTTTTGCAGTGGTGAATGCAAAGCTAAAGTGCGCTTCAGCTAGAATTGTATTTACAAATGGATGGTTTTTCCACGAGGATTAAAAATAAACAAGTGGCACGGAAAATAACAAAAGAATATGAACTATGCAAAACGATAATCCGGGTATAGGAACTTGGCTGATTTGAAAACGCCTTCAAATGCGGCGTGATACCTCACGCATTCCGGAGAGTTCAAATAGTTGTATCATTGCGCCTTAGAAATGCGACGGAAGATTACAATTGAAATAGCCTCATGCACGATGGCCTTTTTGATTTCCGTCAACATTTTTGCAGTCATGAATGCGCTTTAGTGCGCTTCAACTAGAATTGTATTTGGCTAATGGATGGTTTTTCTACGAGGATTAAAAATAATCGAGTGGTAGGTACTGAATATAACAAAAGAATTTGAAGTATGCAAAACGATAATCCGGGTGTCGGAACTTGGCTGATTTGAAAACGCCTTCAAATGCGGCGTGATACCTCACACATTCCGGAGAATTCAAATAGTTGTATCATTGCGCCGTATGAATGTGACGGAAGATTTAAATGGAAATAGCCTTCATGCAGGCTCGCCACATCCCATCTCGGGCCCTGGTACCAGTTTTAAGGTCCCGGCCCCAAGCACGGAGGGGGGGGGGATCCGAAGGGCATCCCCCGAGAAATTATAGAATGTATACGACTAATCGGACGCATGTTGAAGCTTCCATAAAGAATCTTTCCATCAATTTCTGCGGAATAAAATTATTTTTTTCTTTTTTATACTTTCAGCACAAAATACTTGCGAATTGTTGCATTCAAAACATTTGGAAAATTTTTAATTTTTTTGGGTGTGGCATATGATACCTACTATTTTCAGTTCCAAGAGGGCCAGGCCCCCCTGGACTCCCCCTTCGTTTGTCTAGGACAAGGGAGTTGAGTCATGAGCCATTGAAGTCTACGATGCCCAGACTGGAGACTCTTAGCATCTGACGGCGGAAGAAAATGAAACGCAGTCACTAAAAATATCCCTTGTACTGAAAATCTTGAAAATAGATAGTAATTTTCCAAGAAGTATACTTCTTTGAAAATCTAAGAAGAATTCTACAGTGCCCCAGCGTGTTTCTGAAAATCTATTCACCTTTTGCGAAATTTTTAGGGTAAATGTTTCACTTTTTCCTACGAAACAAGGGTTGCATGTGAATTCGTAGTGGTTTTTCACGGGTAACACGGGCCCCCTCCAGGGTCCGCGCCCCGGTACCAGGGACTCAGTATCCCTCCCCTCCTTGTGGCGGGCCTGGTTATAATACCTTTAATTAATGTTTTTCTCAGGAAATTGACGATGGCGCGATAAAAATCAGTAATGGCTTCCCTCATCGGCACAACAAGCAACGCTGTAATTAAGTTAAGGTGTGAAGAAATGACAATCACAGCTTCAGACAGTGTCGCATGCGACGGATACTACACGGGTTTAATTATGACGCCTGGATGCAACTATTCGGTCTTCGTGGATGTTCGTGTTGCATACGCACGGTAGTGAAGGCGTTTTGACTTCAGAAACGAACCACCGCACCAGCGACACTTAGTGGAACGAGTCAATAAGATGAGTCGGACCAAATGAAACTGTAGTAACTTCTTTCGCATATACCTCGGACTTAATTGTAGAATTGCGTATCTCGTGATCAAGTGTCAGTTACCAATCATACAGAGCTTGATCCAGCCATATGATATCCAACTTAAGCCTCTGATAAGGAATTTTAAGCGTGATACTCTTTTTCGGTCATCCGTCAACAACAGGTTTAAAGCACTTGGTAGGCAGTTGCAAAAATGCGAAACTCCCCGCGGCTCCCTCAGCCGAGAAAGGATGAAAAACACGAGTGTTCTCCCCCGTTTCTGAGGTTCATCAAGTGCGCGTTTTCCACTGAATCTCAAAGAGCTCTACAGAGTTTTTTCATTTTTGGCTGGAACAGTGCAGGCGGAGACAGCCAACTACGGAATCCCTAGAGAAATTTGCGTGGGCAAAGAGATCTCATTTATTTTCTTTCGTACTAATTGTCAGTGTTTTTGACCCTTTCGTGAAAGTTCATCAAATGTGCGTTTTACGCCGACCACGCGATCCATTGGACTCGTAGAGCTTTTCCGACCAGCAAATCGCATTCACAGAGTCGTTTCTGTGGGGATTAGCTTCAAGAACTTCCGATTTTGACCCCGACCCAGTCCATGTCGACCCCTGTGGATTTTTCCTGATTTTCGGCAGGGCGAAAAATCTGCAGATTAATGTTGAATCCTACGTAGTTCGAGGCGTAGAATCGATTGCGCGTAGTCTCGAGGCTCCGAGACAGCCTGAGCCGAGAAGCGATAAAAAACGAGTGTTTTTTACCCTTTCTCAAAGTTCATCTCCTGCGCCTTTTTTCGCAGATCGCGGGATCCATCTCATCCACCGGACTCGTGTGAGCTTTTGCGACCTGAAAATCCCACTCAGTGGCTCATTTCTTTGGGGACCAGTTTGGTTTCAGCTCGATTGGAGAACTTTCGATTCTGACCCCGAATATGGGTCTGTTCCCAAAGCGGTAGATTCAGTCAACTGAACATACTTTTTCAGTGAAAAGTCGCTCAAAAATCACGCTAGACACATCAAAGGAGTCTGCAACCACTCCTAATAGAGCAATTAGCGTAGTTTGTAACACGCTTTTCCAAATTTACCGCGAATGTGGACAGTTTCCCTTGGTGGCTGACAGTCAGGTTTTTCCGAAGAGAGACCTATAACCCCTCTCCTTGTTGAAGAGTTCAATCGCGATTCAAAGCTTTCGCTTTTGCAAAATAAAAAAAGGAAAAGGAACAGAACTTCAATACAAATGAAATCATACAAAAGAAAGAGTTAGTCAATCGTTTGTTTATTTGGGTAGTTTTTTCAGTCCTCTGCCGGTGCAAACCTGGTCGGCGGAGACCGAGAACAACTGCCCAGAAACGCGGGAAACTTAAAAAAAAGCGGGTCACAAACAACGCAGATTGCGCGCTAAGGAGAGGATTTCGGACTTTTTTGATGTGCCCAACGTGATTTTCGAGCGGATTTTCCCAAAAAAATGTATTCACAAGGGGAGTCTACGAAGTGACATCCTGGGATTGGGTTCATTTTGCTTGTACATGAAGAAGAGACAAATCTAAGGTTGACGTATTTTTTTTTAGCCGCCGACTCCCAACCGTTCTCGAGATATCGATTTTTAAAGTTACGATTTTTGCACGTTTCCGCGCGGAGTTCCGGCGAGTCAACTGAGCGCCGGCAAGCTGCACGAAGCGCGTTTCCTATCAGCGCTGCAGACCGGCCATTGTTATCAACGGTCCCGTGGCCGAGTGGTAGTGTGTTCGCCCACTGTTCCATCGATCGCGGGTTCGAGTCCCGCTTCATGCCGTAGCTTATAGGGTACACCGCAATGCGTTTTTACAAGTTTTCTTTATTTTTATCACACACCAAGGGGTCCGCCCCCTGACCGCTGCGCGGCCCAACCCCCGGGGCAAAAAGGCGCGCTTCGCGGCGAGCGAAATCATCGAAATCGACCGTTGACGGTTACTGGGTAAATAATTTTAATTGAATGATAAAATGATGTTTCAAATAAAAATTTCCCACCACACAATATTCTTAATGACTTTTTCCTTACTCTGAATTTGTAACCGTCAACGGTCGATTTCGATGATTTCGCTCGCCGCGAAGCGCGCCTTTTTGCCCCGGGGGTTGGGCCGCGCAGCGGTCAGGGGGCGGACCCCTTGGTGTGTG